CTGTGTGGAGTTTGCATGTTCTCCCTAGGTTTGTGTGGGTTTCCTTAGGGTGCTCTGATTCTCCCCCCCCCACAGTCTGCCTGTGCTTGTGCCTGTCCAGGGTGTACCTGCCTTGTGCCCGAGGCTCCAGCTCCACCCTGTGCTGGATCAACGGGTCGATGCGATGAGTTTGCTGGGATGGGGGGAAAGAACCAGACTCTCGAAATTCCCGAGACTTTGCGCAGTTTGGGATGGGTCTGCTGCGTGCCCTCCGCTCCTGGCAGCCGTTCTTCTCATTTCCTCGCTCTTTGGCTCGTCCGCCTGGAGGGTGACGAAGATTACACGCCGGACGGTCCCCTTTCTTCTTCCCGGGACAGCGTGCTGCCCGGGCCTTGGCAGAGCCCACCCGTCACAGCCCTGGCAATGAGTGACGTGGGTTTGGCCTGTGGGACATCCTGGTATTGTGTGGGGTTTTTTTTTGTATCCTCCTTCGAAGGCTGGGGTTAAAAGTCACAGGCGTGTCCACCGGACAGCCATGGATCCCAGCATCTTTTTTTTTCTTTTTTTTTAGTAAAAACACACTGGGTTTATGTCACAGTGAATTAATTAGTGATCTGGAAAGGAAGCAGCATCAGTGTGATAAGTAATACAGAGCATGAAAAGCAAAAGGTGCAAACTCTGAGGATATAGTAATAGCTTTAATCAGTGAATGCAAAGAAAAGCGCAAGAAAGTGGGTCTGGATTTCTGCCTCTGCAGCCTGTGGAACGGCCTGTTGCTTCACAGGAGCCTTCATAGATCTTACAAACGAAGCTGTAAAATCAATCGGAGTCTCAGGGTGAGCAGTGTTTTCATTTCATTGTGCTTGTTTATGACATGCAAGCTGAGGTTCATCTTTCTAAACTGGACTCTCAGATGGGGGGTGATATGAACCTGTGGGAATGTTGGGAATGTTGCTTTGAGGCTTCCGATTGTTCTCCAGGTGTGGGATCTCCAGCAGGCACAACCTAGCGAGACAGACATCAGCACTTGGCCTTCTTGTTTCACCAAGTGCGTGTTGTTCATGTGGTTGGAATTCTGCTTTTTCAATGACTTGTAGAATTCATTTTATAAGGAAATGGGGTAATATTTTCTCTATCCAACAACCACAAAGCAGTTTTCTCACATTAGAGCTATTAGTAGTTCATTTTTTAACGGAAGCCTTTTTCATTTTATTGTATTTTGTTCTTTTTTGTGCAAAGTCTGTATTCACATCACTAACAAGCTGTGATCTCCCATCTGTGAATGTGAAGTAAAGGTGTCACTTACCTAGGCTTTCCTAGGCTTGTGTAAATCGCCATCAGCACAATGCTGAGCCCTTGATCCATCTCTTTTCTAACCACTTTCTGCAGCTCAGTTGCAGGTGAGCCAGATCATATCCCAGCGAGCAGTATGTGCATGGCAGGGTACACCCTGGACCCTGGACAGGACAGCTGGCCACCACAGGACACTTACAGACACACACACCATCGACAGGATAGCTGGCCATCATAGGACACTTACAGACGCACACAGCATTGACAGGACAGCTTGCCACCACAGGACATTTACAGACACACACACCCTGGACAGCACTGTCCCAGAAGCCAATTAACCTTCCAGCATGCCTTTGAACTGTGGGAGGAAACAGGAGTACCTGGAGGAAACCCACGCAAATACAGGGGAACATCCAAACTCCACACAGACAGCACCCCAGGTTTGGAATTGAACACAGGGCCCCAGTGCTGCGAGGCAGCAATGCTGACCACTGTCTCCTTGCCACCCCGAGCCCTTGATGTGAAAGCTATATGTACTGTTTTGTGTAGCAAGAAAAAGTAACTGATTTATGTGTTTATGTCCAGGGTAAATGGCCAAGCTGTACTTTCTTCAGAGAGATACCTCAGTTCTCCATGGGTTTGACTGCTGCAACCAGCGTGCTCTTTTATGTGAGTTAGGCCTTACAGGGACCAATGCTTAATTACTGGTAGACTTGCACTGCACACTGATTACAGAAATAAATCACTTAACCTTTATAGTAATGTAATTAACTGAGAATCTTCATTGCTAATTATACTGCATGGCCTACTTGCATAAAAAGAGATAAATTTTGCCTAAGTAGGCAAAGTGAACTTAGCTATTGTCTGTCTGGTTTGTCTGGTGTGTGTAAGTGAAACTGGCACAATGGCAAGTGATTCTTCTCATGCAGGTTACTTTGCTCATCTTTGCCAAATTCAAAGGAACTAATACTTTGGGAGAGTAGACCTAGTGATACCATCTCCCTGCTGTTGAACTCTTATTTTAGGTCTATTGAAGATCTTTTCCTTCTCCCTGGGGTTCAGGGTAGCTAAGACCTGCCTTTGCTGGCGGAGTGTACAGGGCGTTTGTTCTGCACTGGGAGCTATCAGTTCAGTAGGATGCCCCCAGGGAGAGCTGGCCAGAGGTGCTGAAAGTTCTGTTTATTGGGACTGCGGTGGCTCACCATGCACACAGCCGCCTGAGCCTCAGAGACGTTGGGGTCCGGACCCCGCGCGCGAGGGGTGGATGGGCACCCTGCCCTGGGGAGTCGCTGGGTGCTTCCGCACGTGCTCTGTGGGCTCAGCGGTGTGAGGAAGAAGCAGCACACTCTTCCTCCCTCCGGTGGCGACACCTGGCCTATTATGCTACAGCTGTTTAGGAGGCATGTGAAGAAAAGAGCAGTTGGCGGCTGCCCATAGAAAGATCAGTGCTCGGGCGTTTCGATGGCACATCTGCACATGTCCCAGGCGAGAGCGAATGTCATGCAGCGACATCGGCGTGTGAGCTTTTCTCTCCCCTGTCGTTTTTTAACTGCTCTGAATAAACCTAGTCGGGATAATCATCACGATTGTTCTGCACAGAAAAATAGCCTTGCTGGGGTTTGAGGCAATAGGGCCTTCAGCCTGAAGCCTCTGGCTTCTGCACAAGAGTGCTAACCCAGCCCTGAGCAGCTGGTTAGTCCACCTCCAGACGCATCCCAGGTGTCCCAGCTCAGGAGTCAGTGTTTCATGAGACCCCAGGGGAAAGCGAGCAGCGCTGGCAGTTGCTAGGATGCTGTCTGGGTGGGGGGCTGGGCGCGGACCGTAGCGATCGAGCTACGCCAAATGCGGTCTGGGCTCTCGGCGAGTGAGGAGGCAACATGCCAAGCGCCCATTCCTGGGATTCAGGGACTCGGGATCGGTAGCAGGCTGGATTTAGGGAGAAAGGAAATGCCTTCAGTATTCCTACTTTAAACACGTCTGTTAGGGAGTTGGTAATGCATTGAGAAAGAACAGTGCTGAGTTTGTTGCAGATAAGAAGCAGATCCAGTGGTCTTAAACATAACTGGCCTCATGCCCTTCTCCTTTATTATACCCTGACAAATGTTTGTCGTCGTTTCAAAAATCAGATGACAGTTTACATGTTCAAGTTAAATGTTTAAATAGCTAAGCACTAATTCACAATGACATTACGGCTCAGGGATGGCTGTCCAAGCTAAACAGCAGAGCTATGCAGACACTGCGGAGGAAACTCTAAAACCGGGGTGTCTGGAGCCATCAAGGCGTAAATACCCAGGCTCTTTGGATCCAAGTTCAGTTCATTTTTAAATGTTAAAGCTATGGTATTTTTATTTTAAATGCATTTCCTGGACATGTTTAATGGGTGGTTTAGTGGCATGGTGGGAGTATGTTTGTGTCCTGTCTGAGATCCTGCCTTGTGCCTCTTCCTGCTGATTGATTGATTGATTGATTGTTGGATTGGGATGGCCTCTGGCTCCCTGGGATTCTGTATTGGAAGACGCAGTTGGAAAATGGTTGGACGGATTGCCTGTCTGGGAAGAAGGTGACATTCTGATGCCCCCTGCTGGGCGCTCGGGAACAGCAGCAGCCAGTGTCGCCCAGGCTGCCCTCAGAGCAGCAGCTGGCTGTGTCGGTTCACAGGAAGTGATCAGCACATTCAAAATGTGGATCCAAACAAGCAAGGTGGCCCAGCCTTGTTTGTAACCTTTCTCAGGTTCTTACACAGTCGGATTGCTTTTAATTAGATACAGCACCTGTCGTTTTCTGTTTTGCCTTCAATGCGTGTGAAAAAGGAACCAATTTATGAAGTCATTATAAAGGAGAACTGCAGTCCCAATGTCTTAGACCGGTGATTCGATTTCAGTAACAGAATGAATTAACTGACGATGTAGAAAAGTTTTACAGATTTCGAATTAAGCACAATCGTGAACCCTGTGAAAGAAAGTCGCCGTGTTGTTGCACACTGCTGGTCTTGCTACGAGCGAGAATCGCGATGTGAAGCGGCCCTTCCTGGTGACCAGTCCACCATGATCACTAATGCGATGTACAAGCGAATAATAGCAGCTTACATTTCACCTCCGCAATGTTCTAACGTGATCTGCATGCAAGTAGTATTTGTCGGAAAACTGGATTAAAAGATCTATTCACATGCCTGCTTGTTTACAATGTAATAGGGCCTATTCCCTCTATTTTGGGATGTAAATGTTTTTTTTTACAAGTTATTGTGTACCGATGTTTAAAAATAGCGTTGTCGTGTACTAGAGTTCAAAAATCTCCAAGTGCAGCAGGTTCTGGCGTTTCTGTGTACATATGCAGACGAGAAAAGGTGGAAGAGCTCTGAGGGTCAGCTGCAGTCCTAGTGGCTATTTTGTGAAAAGTAGGGTCCATGATTTACTAGGAAACAGAAGGGAGTTTGCAGTGAACAGGCGCCCTCTGGTGGCTGTTTTGCTACAAGCCTTTAGCAAGGTACTTCGTAGCAAACAATAGGGGAGAAATTATAATTTTGAATCAAAGTGCATTGTCTTAAAGAGCTTATATACATACACATTAGATGCCTTGTTCTTTTTCCAGATGTGTCCTGTTTTTTTTTTAGGACAGGATTAATTTGTGAGGACGAGTAATGTTTTGCACCGCAGAATGTTGCTCTGTTCTTCCTGCAGGCACTCGTCATGGTCTGACTGGTGTCCTGTCTTTTCCCTTTTCTTATTCAGGGAAGAGACGTTAGCCTGGAGACTCTCCGAAAAAGCTGAGCTTACTGTACGTTTGCCCTGGTCAAGGTAGGAACATTGCCTAATACCTGCATTTTGCAGCACAGTCCATGGCTGATTAACACACATGTGTTCTGTTGGGCTCTTGTCCCTGAAAGCCTTTGTCTGGTCAACAGGTGATCTTTGATGCTTTTGTTCTGTCATATTTCGCCCATGTTATAGTAGGCCATCTGCGGTATTATTTTTTCCTGCTCCAGGCCTGTAGAGGAACGTGGCTGATGTTATATTCTGATCTAATAAATACAGGTTCCTTCTGACCTTACTCAGTCGAGCTGACTGTTGTACTGGAAGTGTTGCAGAATTATATACAAAGCCCAGAAAATACAAACACGTGATAGAAAGGCTTTATCTGAATATGTCGTATACTGAAGACCTTGCATGCGTTTCCACTGTACTCCCGTTATTCTGTATGCCTTCCTGCCGGCACTTCAGGGTAAACGATTTGACACAAAGGGACAGTAAAGAGACGAAATGTGAGAGGAATTGCTTTACAAGCTGCTGTGGTAGACATTAGTGACACTCTTTCTGTGTTTTTCTTGGTTATTGGTGCATTCAAAGTATACACCCCTGTCCAAACTGTATGTTAGGAATGTATCTCAAGTGAATTACATTAATTCTTGTGGATTTTAATTCCCCTACCTAATTTTCCTACTAATTGTATTATTTAGGCATCTAACAGGCACTTATAACACGACATTTGGGCGGCTACAAGTGAAACGCACACTCGGTCTAACGTATGGTCCCTAACCTGACTCTGTTCCATTCATTCTTAATGGAAAATGCCCTGCATTCACATTGGAAAAACATTGGCTCTTATGGCTCCATATTTGTATTGTTCCATTACCTTTAATTAAAAAAAATCTTTTTAGACATCGCAACATTCTTGTCTCCCACCTTAACGTAATTTGGGGACAAATTACGTTGTTGACACAGCGCCCCCCTGGTGTATACCATCACTGTACACGGTCTAAAAACAGGTCGTGTCCCTGTAGTGTCTCCTCTCACTGGCCAGTTCTGCTGAGAGAAGGTGTTAGTGAAGCTGCAAAGAGCGATGAAGGGCTGTGCTAGAAAAGATAACTTGATACACACAGCACTGTCCTGTTAGTTTGTCCTCTGGAGTTGTGGGTGCCCTCATGCAGCATGATGAAAGGTTGACGTCCTTCACAGCTCACTGGGCCGGTGGATTTCCTGCTCTCTGGAGCATTAAGCTCACGGAAACCACAAGATCCCCCTTGGACTGGACACTGGTCACCCCAGCTGTGAAGGGGCATTGGCCAACTTCCGCTCCCTCTGTGAAAATAACTCATCCCTCCCCAGCATCTCTCGCAGCTAGACCTTCCCAGCAGCAGCACAGCCTTCTGCTTCGGTGACGTTCATGAAGAGCAGAGGCTGAGCTGCAGGCAGGCTGTGGCCTCATCAAGCACATCTTGTTCTGCTATCGGTTAAGGCTTTCACTGCACTGCTGGAGGACACGGCTGAAATGTGGCTCAGGCTGGATGAAATTTCCAGAAACTCTCAGGCGCTGTGTCCTTTTCTGCAAGGCTCCTTGAGCACAGCATTGTGGGAGCAACCATGTGGTCAGGAAGGTAGTGAGAGGTTCTGTTCCTTTTCAAGCCTGAAGGGGCCTGTGTGTATCGAGAGACAGCGGAGGTGGTTTTGTTCAGGCACTGTGAAATTCTATTGCAGAGGTTTTCTTTGTTTTAAAAAAAATGAGCATTCGCCAGTTATGCATTTTCTTGTGTTATACGTGCCTGATTTGGAAAAGCCATTGTGCTTTCATATTCCATCTGGCAGCTTCGAACCCTGTGCCGGCACAAGGGGCCAGAGCGAGACACTTCCAGCCTCCTTGCGGTCGAGCCCCACGATCCAGGCAGCCCTGCCCCACCCTGTGCCGGGGACTTGGAGCTGACTGGGGGAGAGGCGTGTCCCTTGCCGACCGCCTTGTGGTGTGCAAGTGTCCAGGTGTCCACAGGAGGCGCTGTGTCGCTGAGAGCTGAGACTTGTCAAGGCTTGACCAAATCGCTCGCCACTGTTGGGATGATCCCAGCCATCGCTCCACTGGTCATGTGACCCAGACTTCATCTGCACTCATCCTTCCCTCGTGCAGCAGGGCAGCCCGCCAGCCCAGGGTTTCTCCAGGATACGGGTATTTAAAATCTTCAAAGACACTGACCAAGTCAGTCCAGCGGAATTCCCCAAAATCAACAGTGAAACGTGAGTGAGGAGGCAGAAGTGGAAACTATGTGAAAAAGCATGTGAAACCAAGAACAGGATGCAGATCTGTACGCAGAGGGTTGTGGGAGTCTGGAACCGGCTGCCCAGCCATGGTGTTGAAGCCGAAACCCTGGTTTCTCTCAGGGAAGCGGCAGGATGAGATCCAGGGATCAAATAACTACAGATTATCTCCCACATGGGCAGACAGGCCTCCTCCCATTTGGATCCTTTGCTCTTATGATCAAATCCACGTCCTGGAGGTCCAGACCCCAGCGGGTTGCCTGTGTCTCTTTTAAAGGCCGTGGACAAGGGGCACCACCCAGCCTTAACTGTATTGTTTTTCCCTGCGCCAAGGGGAAGAGTTATTTATGAACGGGACATGAATTCTGCGGTATTCTAGATCTAGAGGAGCTGTGTTGGAAACCCATATGCCAGTGCCTGTTATAACCTCTTTAATTTAATTTGGCACCTGATAGCTATTTTTAAGAAGCCTAAGAGGATTGCATTCACAGAAGTATCTTGAGAATCATGCAATTGATCTGCTGTCTGACAGTGCTTATAGTAGGTCTGTTGACTTGTGGTATTCTCTTAACTGCATTGGTTATCGGGATTGTAGTCATAAAGTAAGATTTATGTTTATTCTGGAGTCCTTGATTAGAGTTGTCTATCAAGAAAAAACTGAATACCTCTGGTCTATTGTGCTTATAGCTGCAAACATTTGTTTTGACCACACGGGGGCGCCATAGCCCTTTGAAAGCCATTTTCATGCACGGGATCTTGCAGTCTTTGGATCACACTGTTGTTGCTGTTGAGGTCATGCAGAGATAAGTAAGCGCACACAAGCAGGACAAGCGGAGTAACCTACATCAACAATGGTAGTTGTCTCACAAAATCCCTCTTCCAATCTTGGTTACAGCTGCCAAGTTAGCAGCACAACGGGAAATATTTTTTTTTCATGAAGTTGTGATCTTTTTGTTTTGGGGATTTATAGAAATGCGGGCAGCGCAGTGGCGCAGTGGTTAGCGTTGTTGCCTCGCAGTGCTGGGGTCCTGGGTTCAGTCCTGATCCTGGGGTGCTGTCTGCGTGGAGTTTGTGTGGGTTTCCTCTGGGTGCTCCGGTTTCCGCCCAAAGTCCAGAGACATGCTGGCAGATTAATTGGCTTGTAGGAAAATGAGCCCTGGTGGGAGGGGGCATTCTTTTCTTCCCAGTCCTGCAGCTATGGCTGACTGTTTTCGAGGTCTGTGTGCCTGTGTGTCTCTGGGATCACTGTGGGGAGGAGCAGCAGGGGGCTATTTACACATGAGAGCGCGGCTTGAGAGTACCTGGGAGATCCGTTTCAAAACGAGGAATTGAAGACCCATCCCAGAAGTGGGCTGTGGCTGAATCACTCCTCGCTCCAACAGCGTCATCCCCTGACCTCCTCCTCGCCGAGGAGCCCTGCAGCACCTCTGCCTCGGCGTGCAGCTGCTCTCTGAGAAGAGCCCTTTGAGAGCTGCTTCGGCCTGGTCGTATCCACACCGATCGCCGTTCTGCAGAGCTGGCTTGTGCTCACTGCTGATAACACTTCCTGAAAACCCCAGCACAGCCCGGGACTAGAGAGCTTTGTTCTGCTGCGTCTGTTCAAAATAAGGTGTGTTCATGGTGCATTATTATTTTAGAAAAGCAGCATGAGAGGCAACACATGAATAATACAGTGACTTCCGGACCGCAGAAACTTGCAGATGAATTAGTAAAAGCACACCAAAGACATCAGTCATTTTGTGAATGCTGAAAAGGGTATCCTGCTGGCATACAAATGCTGTGCTTTCCCAGATTTGAAAGGGAGTTGTGAAAGTACTGTACGCCTTTTGAGATTAGACGAGGGCAGCACGGTGGCGCAGTGGATCGCGTTGCTGGGGTTCTGGGTTCAATATCTGGGGCGTTGTCCGTTTGGAGTTAGTATGTTCTCCCTATGTCCTGGTGGGTTTCTTCTGATTCGGCTACAGCAGTTAGAAAGTGGATGGATGGGTATTGGGAACTAAATGGACTTACTGTTTTTCGTGTTGGACAGAAAAGGCTGTGAAGGAGCCTGATTCAGCACATTGACAAAACCAGCCTTGTCAAGTTGTTCATAACTAATAGCGAACTGCTCTTGAACCAGCCATGAACCACAGGAAACTGCAGTTAAGGGTTTTTAAAACTGAGAACGTTTCGTTGCGTAAAGGACTGTGGGATTCTGGAGCAAGCTGTCCAGCTGAGGATTTTAATGCTAACACTGGTTTCCTTCAGAAACATGGCTAGACAAGATCCTTGGATCAATGGCTGACTAGCAGCCACCTGTCCTACATGGGCTGAGTAGTTTCCTTCGGTTTGCTGACGTTATGTTGTTATTGAGGGTTTCTGGGTGTAGCTTATCCTCCCCCCTCCCCCTCCCCCTCCAGCTTCCTGACCGGTTTCAGGAATGTTTTGGAATCGACTGCAGAGACGTCACGGTCACGGGGAGCACTGGGAGGTCGCAGACGTGGTGGGATCTGTGCCGCTAGACACGGAGAGCTTGCTCTCTCGAGGTCAGTGTGTGAGGGACCGGACGGCAGGGCAGCTCGAGAAGGCTGTAGACGAGGGTACGAACCTGTTCTCGTTGGTGAGCGAGCAGCCATATCCTGGAACTAGAGGTCCCTTGATTTGGAGAGCGGCTTAGAAGTGGGCCAACCGGCTTCTCGGTGTCAGCTCGATTACCAGCTCCCCGGAGTGCGTTATGTAAACGAGCTGACTCACCTCGAACACCGAGGAAACACAAAGCACATCCCCGTCAGCGA